TCTCATTGTCTCTCAATTCCTGCCGATCCTCTATTTCTTCTCAAGTCAACCAGTTTTTGTGTCTTTAACAGGCAGTGGCTCCTGCGTTTATCCATTATCATCCTCTTCTTCGACACCGGCATCGTTGACACCATCGGTTCCAACGCCGACAACGACAGCTCCGATCAATGTCCCGCCAACTACAGTTACAAACCCAACAACGTCTTCACCTGCAGGGACCGGCATGCCAGAGTAAGGATATGCTCTGTTCTCTTCTCAGGTTTATAAAAATTGAATCTTTTTGATACTTTCTTAATAACTTGAGAAGCATAGAAATGGACATGAGACACACCAATACATAGTGACAAAGTTAATTTCGAAAAATCTAGGATATGGACATGACAAGAACGTGTTTATTATAATATATATTATTTTTATACATTTCAAAGATTCCCCTGTTAAAAATTTGTTCTAATTTAGAATGCTTGTGCATCAAAATCTTCGAGATGGATTGGAGAAAATTTAACAAGAAGAAAATTTAAAGTTGATAATGCTCATCCTTCCTATGTATTTCACCCACGATATGTTAACTGTGTTTAACAAGTGTAATGCTCGTATTCAGTTTATTCAACTAGTTTTTCACACAAGTCTATTGTGCTTAACAAATGTCCAACATATATATCCATCCATTGTTCAAGTTGAAGTGTTGGTGGTTCATATAATAACCATAATCTTGGTGCAGAAATGGAACTCCTCCGACAGTCTTTAACACAGGCAACCCAGCTTCGAGTATGGGCAGCACAACAGGCTTTGGAACGGAGATCCCACCAAGCTCAAGCACCTCGATATCCATGGCGGCTGGATTGAGAGTGAGACCCTTTACTTGCTGCATCACTCTGACCATGTCCTTGATCACACGAAGAATAATTCTGGACTGGTAAAATCACAGATTTCTTCTCCCTGTACTGTACATGAAAGGCCCACGTAACTCATAGCACCCAGTTCCGCCGTGAGTGCAATTTTTGGAGGAGAAAAGGAACCAGAGGTGAGTTTGAGGGATAAACAAGAAGGTTAAAGAAAGCACTGCCACTGCCCGCATGAGCTTTTGTTTGATGTAAAGATTAAAAGATATGTTAGCGATAGATGGGGGTGTACTTACTTTCTACTTGGAACTCTGTGACAGTGTAAAATATATATATTTTTATTAGATGTTGGGATTTGTATTGATGTTTATTTGCTTAATGGACGGTCATAGTGCATTAGAATTAGAATTTTGGTAAGAAGAAACAGAGAGACATGGCTGGACTGGAAATATTTGTTCAAGTCTCGAGTGTTTTGTAGTACTTAATGATTGATTTATTGTTTGTTTACTTATGAGTTCGAGGATTGTATGGTGCCTGCACGATATAATATTATGAGATAAAAGAAGGGAAGGAGTTTAACTTTAGTTTGAGCTGACTAAACATTGAAGGGAAGGAATTCACCTGCCTATTCCAGCTAGGGAGAACAAGGCATTCAATAGGGAGATTTTATTTGGTTCATCGAGTTGCTGATTTTGTAAACAAGTTACAGCATTTTGGTACTTATATTGAATCACAAAATTCGATTGGGATCACAAAGTCGAATAAGAAAAATTATAAGAAAAATACTTGTGAGTGCCTAAATTGAATCAGATTAAAATTGAGTATACTCTGTTAACTTTGATATTATTGGATAGAAGAGTAACACTTATCACTTGGGATAGGCTACTCGTCTATATTTTTTACTCAAGTTTTTGTGGTCTGTTCTTGTACAAAGAGTGCATGAAATAAGAGGGTTAGTGATGTATCAATCTTAAAGTTTTGAATCACGTTGTCTAAGTTTGTAATCAAAATTTTAAGTTGAATGAAAAGCTAATTTTTATGAGGCATGCCAATTTGGTAAAGTTCATAAATAGCCATTCTCTTTGTCAACTTTTGGGCAAAAATCTTTGTTGAATTACTTTGCTTAGATCTTTGGGGACCAAAAACTGAATCAACTTGAAGTCAAGGATGTCACTATTACATGAGTTTTTTGGATGACTGCAGTGGGGAGATGGATATTTTCTTTGGTGTCATCAATGTTCAACTTACTTGTTTGTACCCATCAACATAAATTGGAAAACTTCAGAAATCATATGCCCTGCCATTTTGGCCCAAGCATGTATCACTTTGTTTTTGGTTACGTTCAAAAGTTCATACAAGAAGAAGTTTCCCTGTTACCCTTCGTTTATATATCGTGGATGATCTCATTTTCTCACCCATGTCAAAAATTGTTTCCAATTTCAATAAGACTTTCATTAAACTTAAAACTTTGATATTCAAGAGTCCTATAGTCAATTTATTACAAAATTAATGAGACGCCCCAGAGGACCCATCTTGGACCTTCTATGTGGATGGATCCTCCAATGAGGGAGGATGCGGAGTCGATCTTATACTGATATCCCCATAAAGAAGTTTCTCTGAGTACACAATGCGCTTTATTTTCAAGGCCTCCAATCATGAGACAGAATTGGTGTCTCTACATTCTTTTTTAAGTACAACAATATGTAGGAGTAAGAATTCGAACTCACAACTTTTTGGTCGGAAATATATGCCTTCTATGCTTCGGTTTGCATACGATGCTAGTTGCAAAGTTAAGAATGGCGAGAAAGGTGTAAGGAGCAATGGTTCTTTGTTGTAGGTGAATGATTCTCTCTAATTAACGATGCAGGGGCCTATCACCAAGGTCCTGGTCGAGTTTAGGAGTTGAGGTTAGTTTTTTTCTCCTTTACTCGGCCGAGGTCTTTTTATAAGCAATTGACTTGTTTTCCTTATTTTCTATAGTCCTTCCAAAAATGTTGATACACGTTTCTAGCATAACTGAAATCTGCTGACGTGGAGTCAAAGGTGTCTCATGTTGTTTTTGGGTGATGACTTGTACTCACGTACCAGTTCCCAAGAAGGATTCCACTATTTATAAAGAATATGAAGATGTGACCCGTGAGTTTTAGGAATCTCTACCGAGCCCCAAGATGAGGTGGGACATGAATCATCCCACTATGTCGAGCAGAAGTGTTTCACTCGTGACCCCTCAATCTCGAACTACGTTGTCTTCCACGTGGCTTAGAGGCAAAGGGTCGTGTGGGCCCGACTCCTGCCACGTAGCGAGATGTTTTACTCACCCAAACACTCACTGAGTCACCAAGGTGAAACCTTGTTTGAATTTCTAATAACATTTTCTTCAAACTTTAAACATCGACGCTAAAGAGTACGATAGTCAAATCAGTCGTTCACCATATAATTTATACTAGAAATGGTCATCACAAGGTGTCTTTCTCACAAGAGTGTGTTAAAAGGAAGAGCATTGATAGCACATGTTCTAGGCTATTTTTATGCATTGTTATAGCTTAAATATTGTTAGTTTTTGAATTATCTGAAACATAATCATGCACAATATTGAATATCTTGTCAAAATAAAGCAATTGAGGGGAGATTTAAAGAACTCAAGAGATGTTTCGAGAAATTATGTTGCTTGGAACACTAAGTAGAAACTGAAACACTTCCAGAGGCACAATTCAAGCACATGTGAGAAGGCAGCATCTCAATGCTCATTAGGAGCGTTCCAAAAGGCACCAAAAGACCAAAATATGGAAGCATGGCTTCAAGACGCTATGTTAACTGCTCTCCTCTGCCTCCCTTGCCAACTGTTGTCAACTGCTGCATTCCATATTTGGAACAAGGTCACTCTTCCACCATCATCCTAATTCAGAACAAAGGACCTTCCCTTTGGAGAAAAGTAGCCACGAGCAGGAGGCTCGCCATAGAAGTGGGTGCAGAAACGAGCGAGAGAAGGGCAGCAACAAGTAGAAGAGGAGCAGTGGTCAGCATGGAGAGGACTGGGTTGCAACGATTTGTGTGACGAAAAGGGAGCTGATCAGTTTAGCAACAAGCAACGACGAGCACTCTTCGGAAGAGATGAATGAAAAAGGAAGAAAGAGGAGGAGAAAGGTTGGGTTGAAAGTGGGATAGAAATGCATGTAAGCTAAAAAGATTAGAAAAGATTGTCCAACTCATGTGATCCTTCTAGTCAACTAACGATCGAAGGATCATGAACAGTTTTCCAAAACTCAAAGACTGACTAAATAAACACTGTACTCAAAACTTCGAGACCAAAGGCATTTTATCCATGATTTTATCATAATAATGTTTGGCAATTATTCTACCGCAATTGAATCCATAATTGATATGCTCTTCAACCAAAAAAATGTGGCGATAACATTGAAGCAAAGACAAAATTGATGATTTAGAAGGGTGAGAAATTGGAAGCCATGCAGCATGTGAGGAAAATGATTGGAAAGTGACATTTGGAGTATTAATATAGAGAACAATATTATCCCAAATTCCACTGATAGCGGCAAGCAAGCAAAGCAAAGCAATTGATGTTTCAGAGAAATCAACACTCAAATCCAACGAATGGATTATAGCCGTTGCCACCAACTTCAAGAGCTCGACAGAATTTGGATTCCAACTCATTTGATTACCCATTTCACCAAACTTTTTCATCACTCCAATCCAATAATGAACCAGACACAACCTCAACATTTCCCCAACTGTTCAATGACCCTTTTTGAGTTTTGACAATATCTGCACAAACTCTGCCATTTGTTTAGTAGCTTGTGGCCTAGCCAACATATAGGACAAGTGTAATTGCAGAAGAAGACAACAGTAACATTCTACAATTTGAATCTGGAACAAGCTTTTTCTTCACATGTAAATAAGATCTTTCAGAAGTTCTTGAGAGTAAAACACTGTTCATACAAATCTTCACCATATGTTAATGCTTGCTTCGTCTCATCAACATGTTTCTGTGTGGTGCATTCCTTGTACTTCCATTCTCCATATCAAAACAACTCTTTTAAAACTTTTTTGAATTTTTTAGTCAGAACTTTTCCATATATAGCCCAATAAAAGAAATTTTATTTGATAAATTTTACAATTAGACAAAGGTACATACAGCATAATGCAAAAGAAAAATTATCCCAAAGAAACTATAAATGTATGAGGGAGCATTATAACATGCTAGGTACTTATGGGAAGGGAACGAAAAGAAGGGCACTCTGGATTGTGTATTCAAACTCAAAGGGATCATTCAACGATTTTATTACAGCCAAAATATTAGAACCCCAAAATAAATGTCGCAAAGAAAACCACATACAGTTCATTCCATGAAGTATAAAACCAAAAGCTTCTACCATTTAAGCCTATTCTTCAGTCTTTTTTTTTTCTTTTCTCAAGACAGTCACCAATCTTAAACAATACAGGCAAAAGGCAACAAGAAGATCACATCTCACAGATACAAGGTAAATAAGAGAGAGACAGAGAGAGTAGAACCATTTATTTCTAACAGTCCAGGAAACGAAAAATAAAAGAATGCAGTTATACTCCGTTCCTGCTAAATCAGTAATGTGCAAAGTAACAGTGTGACAGGCACACAGAATAATGTTAAACTTCAATTAATCTACATATTTTACACCTATGCAAGGAGGGGCCCTTAAAAGAGAATTCGGATCAACCCTAGAGGAGTCAAACAAGGAATATCTGGAAAAACTCACAGGCATTGTGCTATCCTCACTAAATGAATTCCTAAAGAGCCAGGTCGAACCCAATATGAAAACAACTGCATAAATTTTCATACTTTAGAACCATATCATTTCGCTAAATACTAGGAAATAATGATGCGATCAATTTTCCTACCATGGCTCTGCAACTGAATTACAACCAATTCACAACTTCAAAAAGCTACTTTGCGGTATTAACATTTCCTCCAATTTGATCATTATGGACACGCTTAACTTCGCCATTCTCATGCCCACTATCACCAAAATTTCCAGACTTCTCCTTCTCGTTTAAAGTGTTGTTATTACTACTCTGCAAACGGTCGGCCTCAACATTTTTCTGCCTTAGAGCTTCCTCTAAGGAAGCAGCCACATCGTTCTTCACCATTGACATCTGTCTCACAAACCCATTCAAGCTCTCTCTCCTGTGAGTTAAAGCACTACTAGTGTTCGAATTTGCCACAGCAGAGCCCTCACAAGAATTCTCCATTTTCACCATAGAACCCAAATTCCTATTCCTCTCCTTCTCCTTAATCCCAATACTCCCAGAACCCGAAACCTCCACGGACGCCTCCTCCTTACGCCTGGCTCTCTCTCTAGCCACCACAAATCCCACATGCTCTAGAGCCTCTCTTGCCCTCTTCCTGGCTATGGCCGCCTCCCTCACTTTCCTCTCTGCATCCGCCCGTGCCACAATCACGGCCTTGCCCATGGATGCAGAGGCAATCTTCGCGGCGCAGAGTAACACAACAGCCATCTTCCTGTCAATAGACTTATCGGAAATCCGAGGCTTGGAGTCCAAATCGAAGAAAGAGAAATTGGGTTTGGCACAGGGAGGGCAGAGATAAGAGGAGGAAGAGGAAGAGAGAGGGTGGGGGTCGGAGGAAGAAGGGCTGAGGACGCAGTGGGAATGGGAAATAGAAGAACATTTAACGCAGGTGAAGCGATTGGAGGGTTGAGGATGAGGAGAGGCAGAAGGGTCATAGAACTGAAAGCAAGAGGGGCAAAAGGAGGTGGGGTGGAGGCGGAGCACGCAGGAGGTGCAGAGACGACGGTTAACGCCTCGTAAGCGAACATGATGCAGCATCCACCGGCTCTGAGACCCGCAATTTCCACACTCCGACGGCATTTTCGTCGGAGGATTTGGATTTGGGTTGTTCACCATTGCGGGTACAACAGAAGGTGGGGGCGGTGGACGAGGGTGATTCATTGATACCAACAAAAACCCTAAATGGGATAACAATCGAACACGAAACGAATGAGAAATTCAATCCCAGAAGGCGACGAAACAAAGGGATTGAGACATTAGGGGAAAAGGTTTTTTAGGGTTTGTGTACAGTTTTGGTTCAAAAGTTCAATGGAGGGGGGAAAGGGAAACTTGTGAGAGTTGCAGACAATTAAATTAGGGTTCCAAAACCCAGGAGGAGAAAATCAAAGTCAGCCAGCGCCAAGAATAATTAAATATCGGTTTATTTTCTTTTTGAATGGAATTAATTAATATGGCCATGCTTTTTTCTTTTAAACCCTTTTCTTATTTTTTTGATTGAAGAGTTAAAAGGCAAAATAGGGAAATTAGTACTTTTTATGTATTTTGTTCATATTATCTTTTTCACACCTCACTTTTAAATATCTGTCTCTCATTCTTTGAAGTCAAACAAAAGAAAAAGTTGGCCAATGGAAAAAAGACATTTGTCGATCCTGAAACAAATAAAATTAAAATTTTAACAAGTTCAATCCAGTTATGTTGCATGCTACCCGTTGAAATGAAGTGTCAATTTGAAGTATAATTCAATCGATTTGACATAGTTCAAATCTTCATCCTCAATAGTGTTGAAAAAAAAAAATAAAAACAAAATAAAGAGTTTGATGATAATCTCAATAACTGGATGTATTAAATTCTAGATAAATAAAATTATTAGATGAAAATAATTTACACTTTTGAAGTTTGATAATTGTTTCTTAAAAAAAAAAGTAAACAGGTTTAAATTTATGATAACGACAGCAGTACCGATAGCACCAATAGCATCTTTTCTGGTTTCCTTTACTAGTAAGGGGAGCCATCCAGCGTCGATGATCCAACCCCATACCGAGATGCCCTGATGGGCGTGATCTGGCTAGAAGCAGCCTCCATTTTCCCTCGTGGCCCATGAACTTGGTCACTTTCTCCACTTTTAAACAATTCATGAATTCCTGTAAAAAGAATTTCAACATTTGCTTGGTGGGTTTTTATTCTTTTTTGGATTACATAACAAATAACTAAGAAATGGAATCGCCATCCTCTCTCACACACACTATACACTACTCTTCTGTGAGCGGAGGATTGAGGAAGAGAAGAGAGGAATATATAAAACTACTGGAAATCTGGAGATGAGAATAAACTAAACTGTAACATATTTGCTCCATGTCTATTACTATTTTTATTGCATTCCTAAAAATTATTGTTCACCGTTATACCAAAAGTAAGCAAAACCACGAGAGAGGGAGAGAGAGACTACCATCCAAAGTCAGTCATTCAAGGCAAATAAGTACAGCAATGTATATTGTTCAATTCAGCCAATGGAGCTCAATCATGCACGTTATGTATTGACCAGTTCCTTCACGTCTAAATCCAAATAAAATTATGAACATGCATAAAAGACCAAGACATTCAAAGTATATGCAAGAAAGTTATTCTTACAATATCAAACACTCTGCAGAAACTCTTTGCAATTTGATTTGTTTTGCCCGAGCCCCTTGCATCTGCTGCATTGAAGCTGACGTTTCATCACCTCTGGGGATCCATATCTCTTTGATGTAGGTCTACCAGGTGAACGACATGTAGGAGGAGGAGCTACAGTCACTGAGGCCTGTAGAGAACTTTCTGTATGGGCATGTCAACATGGGGAATGGGATGTACCGACTCTGAATACGTTAATCTGTAGCTTTCAGTTGTGAAATATCGGGAGCAAAATTCATAAAGGCTCGGCCAAGACAGCCAAGGACTGGAATTGCATGACTATATGGTAATCCAGTAAGCTGCTACCTTTTACAAGTACAATCCCAGTGATCAATGTCAACAACTTCAATAGAGTCGCCTCGAGCTTCAAAGTGCTACCCGCAGACAATGGCACTTGAAGACTATGAACCTTGTAGCCTTCCTTTTCCAACTTTTCCTCCATGGATGGTTGTCAACCATTGGTCAGATTCTGCTCGCTGTGCATAGATCAACTCTATTATATTAACCCTGACTGCATCAACCATTTGTGTGATGGGCAATTCATGCACATCTGAAACCCAACTGTAGAACAGCTCTCCAAAGTTCGATGTCATGTGGATACCTAGCACCCTCAAAGAATGCATTTGCCCAATTCTGGGGTTCACTTTGTAGGACCTAATTGTAAGCCTCTAATGAAATGCTTTTAATGCTTACAACGCACCTCTGAAAATTTTCTGGTCTAGGTGCATAAGCAGTAGTATAGAAGTCCTCAACTATGAGCCGCTTCACCTCAACTATATCAGAAAAGTTATAAAACAGAGATGAAAAGAGAAGAAGAACACACAGAAATTATAGTGGTTCAATCCAATAATGATCTGCATCCACTTAGGCATCCACTAGTTGAGACTATGAGCCGCTTCACCTCAACTATATCAGAAAAGTTATAAAACAGAGATGAAAAGAGAAGAACACACAGAAATCATAGTGGTTCAATCCAATAATGATCTGCATCCACTTAGGCATCCACTAGTTGATCAATGCACAGTAAATCAGCATTTGAGTATTTTAGCTTCCTCTCACCAATACCCAATACATTTAGTCAATCACAGACCTCAAAATACAAAATGGAGAAGAAAGAACCAGTGAGAAAATCATGAGTAGCCATCATATGAAGCAGGAACTTCAAGTTAGGGGCGAGAAGGCATTCCTTAAAGATACAACACCTCATAATGCTGATACAAGATGCAACCTGGGAAATGTTCTGCTTTTCATCATTGTTATCGTTCCCGAAAACTGAAGCCACAGTAGCTACTTTCGGTTTCTTTGTGGCTCCACCAAAAATGTTCTGCGATAACGATTCAGAATAAATAAGGGGTAAGTTTCAAAGCGTACTACTACCATACCATGAAGAAGACATATCCTGTTCTAAGCAGAAGAATGCTATCCTTGGATTCCTAGAAGGGATGAATTCATGAGCATTGCTAGAGGAGTTCCAAAAATCATTACACGTGAGCTGCAAATTAATGCTAAATGATACTTTAATCCTATGGGAATCAGACATTCTGCTACCCAGTTACCTATTGAGTCCTAAATACTCAAAAGACGAGAAACCTTTTCATTGAGAGATCAAGTCATAAACGAAGAATGCCTGTTCATGATTGTAACTCCATTTGGTTTTACCTTTGAGGTGCCACCTTTAGGAGACAATCCAAATTTTAATGTTTTCCGCTGATCCAGATCTGCAAGTGATGTAGCATTTCTAAGTTCAGTAGACACAGGAGCATTGGCTGATCTTTCTTGTTGATCCAGCATCTGCTGCTGCTTCTTACAGGCATCTGCACTATTTTAACATTATAGAATATAAAAACATCATCACACGAAATGAAAATATAGAGGGAAGCTAGAAATGAGAATCTCAAAAGAGTTTACTGAAAAAAGAAAGATACATTTGAGCAAAATTTTGCCATCTCTTTCTCTTCACGTTGCTGTTCCCGCTTGTTTCTGTCATCTTGGCTGCTTGTACCATGCATTTCTCTCATTTCTTTAAAACGCGGCAATATCATCCAACATTGCTTTATTAGATTTAATGGAACTTCATAGGACCATCCAAAGTAAGAAAGGGGAGCAGGGGATTCTGCAAGATAAGGACTATTTAAGAGGAAACTCCCCATTTCACACCTTTCGATGATTGTGCTCATATGAGCTGAGATGAGCTTCAAATTCCATTGCCAAATTGTACTGTTTGTTGCAAAGATCTCAGTGGAAAACTTTGCGTATTTCTTTGACCTCAGTTTTGAATTTTCTCCTCACGTTCTGCTAATATCTGGATTTTCATAATGTGCATGAAGCAGGCAGTAGAAGCCACCAGGTAATAAAAACTGCAGGAAAATCTGAAGACCTTCCAAAGTTGATGGTCCCCTATGATATACCATTCCCGCTAAAAGACATGCATATATGCTATATGCTGCCTTCTGCTATTTGATATGAGTTTCAGAATGAGGAAAGCATCAACCTCAAAGTCTCATCTAATAATAATTATTTTTCCCAATTAACTGTAAGATAAACAAATGACATACCTCCCATTTTTTGGCAATAATCTCGATAACTAATTGTATTAAAATTCTTGATAAATAGAACATATTAGATGAAAATAATTTACACTTTTGACAAGTGTTTCTTAACAAAAAGGTCAACAGGTTTAAATTTAATTGTGACCCATGAACTTGGTCACTTTCTCAACTTTTAAAAAATCCATGAATTCCTGTAAAAAAATTTCAACATTTGCTTGGTAGGTTTTTATTCTTTTTTGGACTACCTAACAAATAGCTAAGAAATGGAATCACCATCCTCTCTCTCACTATTCTTCTATGAGGGGAGGATTGAGGAAGAGAAGAGAGAGATATATAAAAATACTGGAAATTTGGAGATGAGAATAAATTAAACCGTAACATATTTGCTCCATGTCTGTAATTCAGTGAGGCCAGTCAAAAAACCTACACCTATTTTCATTGCTTTCCTAAAAATTATTGTTCTCTGTTATACCAAAAGTTAGCAAAACCAACTAAGAGAGAGAGAGAGAGAGAGAGAGAGAGAGAGAGAGAGAGAGAGACTACCATCTAAAGTCAGTCATTCGAAGCAAATAAGTACAGCTAGGTATAGTGTTAAGTTCAGCCCAGTCCTTTATACAATGGAGCTCTCGGATGACCCTTCCTCTTTCACAATCCTATTTAGGAAACAAAACACAAATTGCATTCAATTGCATTCTACCATGAAAAGAAAGCCATGGTTACATTGTATATCATTTATTTTACCATAAAAAATGTGATGGTTAGTATGTAGTAGAAATCATACACGTTATGTAATGACCAGTTCCTTCACGCCTAAATCCAATGAACATGCATAAAAGACCAAGACATTCAAAGTATATGCAAGAAAATTATTCTTACAATATCAAACACTCTGCAGAAACTCTTTGCAGGTTGATTTGTTGTGCCCGAGCCCCTTGCATCTGCTGCATTGAAGCTGACGTTTCATCACCTCTGGGGATCCATATCTCTTTGATGTAGGTCTACCAGGTGGACGACGCGTAGGAGGAGGAGTTACAGTCACCGAGGCCTGTAAAGAACCTTTTTGTATGGGTACGTCAACATGGGGAATGGGATGTACCGACTCTGAATACGTTAATCTGTAGCTTTCAGTTGTGAAATATCGGGAGCAAAATTCATAAGGGCTTCGGCCAAGACAGCCAAGGACTGCAATTGCATGACTACATGGTAATCCAGTAAGCTGCCACCCTTTACAAGTACAATCCCAGTGATCAACGTCAACAACTTCAATAGAGTCGCCTCGAACTTCAAATGTGCTACCCGCAGACAATAGCACTTGAAGACTATGAACCTTGTGGCCTTCCTTCTCCAACTTTTCCTCCATGGATGGGGTTAGCCTTGTCAACCATTGGTCAGATTCTGCTCGCCGTGCATAGATCAACTCCATTATCTTAACCCTGATCGCATCAACCATTTGTGTGATAGGCAATTCATGCGCATCTGAAACCCAACTGTAGAACAGCTCTCCAAAGTTCGATGTCATGTGGTTATACCTAGCACCCTCAAAGAATGCATTTGCCCAATTCTGGGGTTCACTTTGTAGGATCCAATTGTAAGCCTCTAATGAAATGCTTTTAATGCTTTCAACGCACCTCTGAAAATTTTCTGGTTTAGGTGCATAAGCAGCAGTATAGAAGTCCTCAACTATGAGTCGCTTCACCTCATGGGAAAATTGCCCTTTCAAGTCTCTAATAAGTTGTTCGGTTAAGTACCTTAGGCAGTAGCCATGAAACGAGCCCTTGAATATACCAGCAATTGAAACAGTTAAACCCTTCTGTCTATCTGCCACAAATGTTATAGGACAAGATGTTGACAACGCTGATTTTAATTGTAAAAGAAACCAGCTCCAGTTATCTTCACTTTCTGTATCAACGACAGAAAATGCAACAGGAAAAAAACCATCATCACCATCAGCAGCTGTAGCAGCCAATAATGTTCCCTGATATTTCGACTTCAAAGGAATGCTGTCAAGGAAAATAAGAGGACGACAACCCTGTTGGAAACCACCTAACGAGGCATGGAATGAGACAAAGAGACGGTGAAAACTCGAGTCTTCTTTAGTGTCGCAGGTGGCAAGACTGCCTGGATTAGTCTCCATTATTTTCTCACACAAAAGAGGTAACTGACTATATGCTTCTTTATATGAACCTTGAAGCTGTTCCTTTGCTATTTCTTTCCCACGCCAGGCCTGGAAGTAGTTTAATTGTATTCCATATTCCTGTTTGATGTCATTGACAATATCCTTTGGTTTGTAATTTGGAAAAACCTTTAGTTTCTCCTTAATAATACTGGCCACCCAACTCCTTGTAGCCTGGTGGCCTGTAGTTGTAACTGCCCCTTCACATGCATGTGTGGGATTCATCTTCTTAATACATATTAATTGAGTGGTTGACAACCTTGATGCATGAATCCTCCAAGGGCAACCTTCAGCCTTGCATTTAACAGTCACCCGATGACTATCATTTTTCTTGTACCTGAATGCAAATTGATGTGCAATGGCATATTTACGTAGTGATTCACGAAACTCGTGAACACTGCTGAATCTTTGACCCACGCCAGTAATGGTATTCTGCCACTGCTGTGCACCTTTGCCATGCTTCTCATCATTTGAACCAAGAAGAGGAAGAATTGGTGTAATATCACCTCCTATATCAATGTGATTAACTATAGGGTTTGTGTCATCCACAACATCAAGCACACCATCAAGTTGGATATCAGCGTGAGTATTATCGTCCCCAATACCATGAATAATAGTAAGAGGAGTACCATCAACAGGTACCACTGTTTCTGACAAAGTAGTTCTGCTTGACCTAGAAATACAAAATGGCAATCCTTTCATACTCGTGCACAAACTCTAGAAGTTGAAACAGTCTTCTCAGCTCTATGGTTATTTATTCAGGCAGGGAAAAAAAAAGGAAAAAAAAAAGCTTAGACTTCAAGTAATCTACCTGCTGGCAGGCAAATTTGAGACGGCAGTAGCAACAACTTCTTCCATGGTTATGTAAATATCAACACTTACAGAATCTCCATGAAACTTTATCATGCGTTTTAGATCCTTGTCATTGGAAACAGTAATGAGAGTCTTCCTGTTGCCAGGGAGGAAGTATTTGATCGACATAGTGTCCAAATTACAATTAAACATTTCTGCTACTTCCATCTTGAACTCATTAAACTTCATTTTATCATCCAAGTCAATGGCATGGGCATCTCCTCCATGGTATGAAAGCGTACCATCTCTACTAGTCTCAAATTCACCGCCTGATTGACAAATAGCTATAATTGTCTTCTCAGCCATGACCTACAATTACATAAACCTCAACTCAAAGATGGATCCTTTCAATAGTGACGTTAGGAAAAAAAATTAAAAAAAAAATTCATCATTTCAACAAACTATATTCTAAATAAAGGTAAACTCATTACTTGTCCTGCCTATTCAAGGTTAGTAATCAAAGCTGGAATTATCCAAAACAAAACAGTTCCTAAAATATCAGGTATACAGCCATTCGTGACCTTAAATGCTATAATCTGAGTTTTGGAGTAGTTAATTATTACAGATTGGAAAATATCTTTGAATTACTCTAGTACTTAACCACCTAAGTTATTGGTCTATGTGATTTGCATAGTATTAGTACAAATCAAGAAGGTAAACTAAATTACTACAGCATCATTTGCTCCCAGTTATTTCATATTCAGGGTCCACCTACTGAATAACATAAATTAAATTAATATACGAGTTTTGAGAATGCATTAACTAATTAAACCCTCCTAACATACAAAACTTAAACATTTGGCAAATTATGCATCTCCTAACCATTTTGAGTTGCCCCAATAGTCAAAGGAGTGACTCGTAAACCAAATGTACTGGAAGTCATAAGTTCATAACAATGGTCACCACCTATCTGTGATGTTAAATATCCCACAAGTTTCTTGATACCTACACTATTGTTAAATATCAAAAAGTCTCTGAACAAAGGGTTCGAACACTTTCTAAGGATCCCATATTACTAGGAATGGGTAACAAAAGGCGGAAATTTGAAGAATACCCTCAAGCCACCGCCCCCAACCAGAGACATAGGAGGATAGAATCAAGGGAAACAGTAGAACAAAGAGTTCGAAAACTCATTTTACCTTAAGATTTCTAGATTACCAAAGCAAGAGCACGACGATTTTCTTGCCAATGCAAAATTTCACAAACAAACAAAATGATCATCAGCCAAAACACCTACATGAAAACAACGAAGACAGTAAAAAGATATATTAGAATTTGAAAACAATCGATAAAAGTCAAGGAACTAGGAAAAGCCCGAATAAAATTACGCAACAACTTTTAGACAAAAGGCTGCAACAAACAAGAAGTTGAAGTAAAAAATGCAGAGCAAGTAATTGGGAGAAGAAAAGGGGATAAATGCCCAAAATTGGAATGCGAGGGAATGGTGGGAATTTGGAAATAGTTACCGCAATTGAGATCAGAGTCCGACGAGGAGACAGTGGTTGACCCAACCCTTCCTTAATTCTGGTCAGAGCAAAATTAGAGTGGAAAAGGTGGCGAGAGCGGCTGCGTTCCTCCTACTCCGGCCACCGCTGATGGAATGAAATACCAATACGATACGGTACGAGCAGTTGCCGTGCCACCGACCGCGCCGCCGCCGCCGACGCCTTGCCTCCGCCCTCGTACCGGCACGTGATCTCCTCTTCTTATTAGTACAATTATCGCTTCCAATGCAATTACGCACGGAATGCTCTAACCCCTAGATATCTCAAACAAATAAAACATATGGTATTCGAAAAGAAACACCTCTTTAAAAAAAATTAATTAAATAGAAAATGTATAATAAGCATTTCAATTTGTATGTAATATATCTCTACATCATATATAATTTTTTGTTTTATTAATTAAAAAAATACAATAAGTTTGAGATTTATTAAATATAAAATTAAAAATTAAGACACAAAGTTGAATTTATAAGCTTATTAGATAAATATAATTTTAATTTTAATTTTTTTTTAACTTTTAAGATTTTTTTTCTTTTGTTTCTTCATACACCCAACAATATAAAATTATTCACCACATCATTTTAGCCTCCTCCGATAATTTTTTTTTCGAGCTCTGAAACAAGCTGCATAGTTCATAGTTCAAAAGACGTTATCTAATTTTTAGCCATTTGAATAAATAGTAAAATTAATATTCTAAATTTTTGTTTCTGGACGGTTGATGACTAATATGAGTGTGATATTACCATTTTTATACATGTTTGTACTTCTAGTTGTGATGTGCGAACATGAGCATAACTTAGACACTTATCTCTAATCAAAATATTGTGAGTTCGAATCCTCGCTCCTACATATTGTAATAAAAAAAAAGTGTTGGGTTCGGACATGTTATTGGCAAGATTGTGGACTCTTTACGGAAGTTTTTTTGTCGTCCCTAAAAATAATCATATAGCTTTAACCGTGTAATGTTTGTTATTCTAACAATGTATTCAACAACTTACTAAAAAATAGTTAAAAAATTAATCTTTTAAATTATTGGTCTTCATAAATTATAATTATATTAGATTGAATTAGCAAAATTTATTCAACCCAGTCAATATAGTTTAAGGTAAGCTAGACATATGAAAAAAAATTATTCAATCCAATGATTTTAGTGAGGTGATGTACCTAACCCAACTAACCATAAATTTTATTTGAGTAAGTCATGAATTATTTGAGTTGTGTAAGTTCATGTTACTGTTAAAATATAATGAAAATGTTAGTCATTTGAGCATCCAAATACTGAATTTTTTCTTTTAGATAATAACATTACAATTGTCGATATAAAGACCCAAAAAGTTTACATTCAAGTTGACGTCAAATATTGACCTAGGATTAGTAACTTAGATATCAATTTTCATCCTATTAAAAATTATGCTCTAAAAACTTAAAATTGTTTTCTACAAGTTGGAAAACACAAAAGAAGGGAAAAAAGACTAGGATTAAATTATAAACGTGATCGGTATACATTGAGCAATGCCTATTTAACATACGTTTTAACATGTTTTAATTACGTCTCTAAATTCTGGAATGACATATCTATTAGATGTTTTGGTTTATCAACCAAAAAACATGTAAATATCAGAACTCTGAAACATGTATTGTAAACTTGCATTGCAACAACTAAGAAAACACAAAGGAAACGAATAAACGCGAGAAGAACGGTCAAGTAATTCTTTAGTCTAAATATACACACAGTTGTGTATCAAGTTGTGTGAAAAACAAAGTGAGTAACATTAATAAGCTGTCAATAAGATGAATGAAAAATAGCTATCAATTGACGCCAAGAGCTGAGAGATACGATAAACTTCTATCCAGTATTATCATTTGCAAGGAGTACTTATAGTAACTATAAGTTTCTCTAAGCATATAGTCTTTTCAAAAATTCGAGTATGATACTTCAAATCACTTGGCTCGAAGCAAGATTGACACCAAACTTGTAGCTGATATACATAAGTTAACAGTCCTAATAGCGAGTAACAAGTTTAAACAAGAACATCTACTGCCATAGGATTACATGAACTTCAAGTTAGGGGCGAGAAGGCATTCCTTAAAGATACAACACCTCATAATGCTAATACAAGATGCAACCTGGGAAATGTTTTGCTATTCATCATCGCTATCGTTCCCAAAAACTGAAGCCACAGTAGCTACTTTCGGTTTCTTTGTGGCTCCACCAAAAATGTTCTGCGATAACGAGTTAGAATAAATAAGGGATAAGTTTCAAAGCATACTACTACCATACCACATGAGGAAGATAAATTCCGTTCTAAGCAGAAATAAGTTATCCTTGGATTCCTAGAAGGGATTAATTAATGGCATTGCTAGATGATTTCCAAAAATCATACATATGAGCTGCAACATTAATGCTAAAATGATACTTTACTCCTATGGGAATCAGACATTCTGCAAGCAGGTTACCTATTGAGTCCTAAATACTAAAAAAAAACGAGACACCTTTAGATTGAGAGATCAAGCCGAAATTCTAAATGAGAGATTACGCCCTGGTTAATTTCATAATCAATTACAAAAGGATGTTATAAATGAAGAATGCCAGTTCATGATTGTAACTCCATTTGGCTTTACCTTTGAGGTGCCACCTTTAGAAGAGAATCCAAATTTTAATGTTTTCCGCTGATCCTGATCTGCAAGTGATGTAGCATTTCTAAGTTCAGTAGAAACAGGAGCATCGACTGATCTTTCTTGTTGATCCAGCATCTGTTGCTGCTTCTTACGGGCATCCGCACTATTTTAACATTCAGAATATAAAAACATCACGCAAAATGAAAATATAAAGGGAAACTAGAAGCGAGAATCTCAAAAGAGTTTACTGAAAATAGAAAGATACATTTGAGCAAATTTTGCCATCTCTTTCTCTTCACGTTGCTGTTCCCGCTTGTTTCTGTCATCTCGGCTGCTTGTACCATGCATTTCTCTCATTTCTTTAAAACGCTGCAATATCATCCAACATTGCTTTATTAGATTCAATGGAACTTCAAAGGACCATCCAAAGAAAGAAAGGGGAGCGGGGGTTTCTGCTAGATTAGGACTATAGACTATTTAAGAGGAAACTCATTTCATACCTTTCTATGATTGTGATCATATGAGCTGAGATGAGCTTCAAATTCCATTGCAAATTTGTACTGTTTGTTGCAAAGATCACAATAGAAAACCTTGCGTATTTCTTTGACTTCAGTTTGAATTTTCTCCTCACGTTCTGCTAAAACCTGGATTTTCATAATGTGCACGAAGCAGGCAGTAGAAGCCACCAGGTAATAAAAACTGCAGGAAAATCTGAAGACCTTCCAAAGTTGATGGTCCCCTATGATATACCATTCCCGCTAAAAGACATGCATATATGCTATATGCTGCCTTCTGCTATTTGATATGAGTTTCAGAAAGAGGAAAGCATCAACCTCAAAGTCTCATCTAATAATTATCATTTTTCCCAACTAACTGTAAGATAAACAAATGACATACCTCCCGTTTTTTGGCATGTTCCTCAGTCTCTTCCACCTCAACATCAAGTTTTTTTCGCTGGATGTTTTCCTCTGCAGTAAAAAAATCGTCCTCTTCTTGTTTTCCAATTCCAAGTTTGGGATCTCTAATTCCAGATTTTATTGGCTCAATAATTCCTGGACCAACACAACAAGTTCAGATTATTTAAAAAAATCTAGATCATCTAGTCTAGTCTACGAATTAATTTCAGGTGTATATTCTGGAAACTATATATTATAAAAAGAATATTCGAAATGATTTTTAGACCTATTAATGAAACTTTGTTTTTTGCATTGAATTCAAGTTTTATATATCTACTTCTGAAAAAATTCTAATCAAGTTAATATACACCTAAGAGACACTCTTCATTCTATTTCTTGTAAGAAAAACTGCTAAAATAATAGGAATCACCTGAAAGCAACAAAAATAGTAATTATGCTTCCACTTTTTTTGTTATCTGAAAATGGTGCCAAAGAAGAGGAAAAATAAATGAAGAAAGAAACTCTGCGAACCAGTTTTCTAGAAATTGTTTCTGCTTTTTAATTAGGAAAATGGTATTCATTGACAAACTGAGCAAGGGAAATAACTATACTCATACTTGACGTGATTGCATTAATTACAGAAAACAAGGAACTCAAGTTCCAACGCAGAAATAGAAGTTTTTATATGCTAATCGAAAAAAGTACTAGTACAGCAGCAGTTAAAAATTAGAAGGAAAAGAGAATAGAGAAAAGACATTAAAAATTGCAAAATTGAATTGAGCAAAAGTTGCTTGCAAACGTGAAACTGCAAGGGCGGGCTTTGAGAGGGTGCAATAGAGTGGACCACTAAATATTAAATACTTTGTAAATCTAAGATTCACGAAAGAAATAATAGAAAATAATCCAATAGGAGACAGATAGTACAATGAACAAGCAGCACGCTTTTACATCCACAAAAACACAATACCTTGCTCATCCTTTCCTAGTCCCTTCCCTTTCCAGCCCATCTTCTGTAGAAGCCTATATCCAACATTCGATGAAGTTAATTGTGTGTCCAATGATGCTTGTTCCACATTATCAAGATCAACATTTTCTGTTGGTTTATGGTTGATGGGCAAGCGAAAATCGTCAATGAAATCATCAGCAAGAGATTCCTGATATTCCCACCAAAGACAGAAATAATAGATATCACGAAAACCATAATTAATTAAAAATAAACAGGAGTCCAGTTAGTCAAGGGGGTTAGATGTATTCAGAGCATTTCAGAATGAATACAATAAAAGATAAAAGAAACATAATGAAATAAATTGTCCATAATATCCTTCCAGCAGGGCATAATAATTCATTCATACCTGCTCCTGAGCATAGCCTTTATTCAGGTTTTTTGTTTCCAGTCTACTGCTATAACCCCGAAAATCCATTTTGTCTTGCCTATATCATATGATAAGGTAAAGACCTTACAAATGGAAATTTGAAGTACAAGAATAATAATTTATAAAGTTAGAAAATAAGAACGGAAATGATTAAATGAGGAAACAAAACAAATCCAGGCTGCACGATGTTAAGAAATTTTTGTTAACCAAAAGCACCCTATTTCCTACACAGGACATCACAGTAAAATACTGATCAATTTTATCAATTGATTTTGGAATATTAACTATGATGAGTTGGACCAATGGCCAAATGAACAGCCCATGGTCATTTTACTGAAAAAAAAAAAAAAAAACCAGAAACATTACAATTTCCAGTTCGGCACTGTGTAAAACAGATAAATGGAACAGAACCTCAAGCAAGCATAATGTTAAAGTTGGTCGAAATGAAAGATTCAGTTACCATCAAATGCAGGTTTGGTTTTTGTTATGCGGTTACTTTTAGTTAAAAGATTCAGTCTATTAGCTTTGTTAAATAGACTGCTACGAAGGGTTGTAGTATTGGGGGTCTTTAGGCAGAGAGTTTCTCTGGTCTTCCTCTTCCTTGTGAATCCCTAATTTTCATTTCACCTCGCGAAATCAAAACTTGATTAATATAGCATAAGCAGGTCTCCTCCCAGCAAGTGGACGTAAATTGTTGAAAGAACCAAACCAGTATAAATCTTGTGTTCCCCCTTTGCCTCTCTAACTTACTACTTGAAGAAAAAATGTGTTCCTCGTACAATTCTACAACAGTACATACTCTTCAAGACAAATCGACAACTAACGATATCTGTGAAGCGGTGAATGTGATCACAAACAACAGAAACGACACCCAGAAGTAAAATTGCAACTACCATGAAAGGAGAAACCAAAAGGTAATCATTTTTCCTGAAGAATGTAATGGAAACTCGGGGAAGTAACTAATTTTAATGGGAATTGGAAAAGCAATTAAATTCGGCAGCCCTAGACTTAAAGCAAGACAAAACAAAGAGCATCGGCGGATGTTAAAGAAATTTCTATGGCAGTACCGAAAGGAATTGCAACTGGAAAGTACCTCAATTATGGAGAAATAATCAGAATTTAGGTCAATAGGAAATTGTGGCCGGAAATTTGGTTTGTTTCAACGGGAACTGGAAGGAGCTTCCCTTGAGAAAGAAGCTGCGTTGCGGAGCCACAATGAGCCAGCTACCTAATTACTTTCGAAACTTTTAATTAAAAACAAAGGGAAAAAAAAAAGGTTTGCCGTTAGCCCAAGACCGATAGGCCCAAAATATAAGGGGTAAATCCTAGCATAATTTACCAAAACAAAAAAAAAAAAATTAGAAAAAGTAATTATGGTTAAGGAGTCAAATCAAGTGCAAACACGTGGTGGTCCCTATTGAGGGCTGTCTCGGCCTCGCTATCTAAGACGAGGAGGAAGGGTTGTCGTATCTATAAATAGTGCTTAGCTCGATTTCGATTTGTAGAAGGTCTGCTGATAATTTGATCGAACGTCAATTTCACTAGTATAGAATGACTATTGGCAGAAGATTTATTGATTAACAATTACAAGTACCATAATTGTAGAGTCAAACCTTCCAATATTCCTCCGATACAAAACATTCCTCCTATAAAAAACGAAGTCTCATTCTTTCAGGAGTATGTAATCTCTTCCATTGTACATAAACTCAACTTGTCAAGAGTTTAGATTAGGTTCTAACTTAAGTTTTAGATTGTACGCGAATGTGAGCATCACAACGGTGCAAGATTCTATTTGCAGATTATTCATTAGTCCACGCCAAAATCCACCTTGTATTACTTGATGACGTGTCATTTCGACGGGCGCATCAACAATTATAAATATATAGAAAAATTAGAACAATATATATGGATAGTAAATTTGGAGGTTCATAAATTTCCATACTCTCTCACGTGTATTTTACTAGAAAACATTAATTTTGAAAGTCAATATTAAACATAACTGTGTAGGTTGATTAGTGATATTTTATAATTAATGAATATGGAGGTTGTCCATATATTATAGTTAATCAATATTAGGTTAATTAATCACCAATTAATGTTAATTAACCAATAACTATTACATAAAATATGTTTTTAAAAAACAAAAAAAATATTACATAAAATAAAAACATATTAAAATTGTCATATTATTATTTATTGTTATTTATTGGAATTTGTTTTTTTCCTATTTTTAAAGTATGTTATATTTATAATCACTTTCATAAATATGCATATATATTAATTTGTTAGAAAAGTATGACACTGATTCAAAATTTCCAAAATATTATGAATGTGACAAAAATTTATGCTTATGGATATTTGAAAATAATGTTTATTAATGCTCACTAAAAAATTAATATTAATGTATAGCTTTCTATTTTTGAAAATAAAAAAAATATTATGAATTGTCTAGAAAAATTGAAGTTTAGGGATATTTGAAAATAATGTTTATTAAATGCTCTCTAAAAAATTCATATTATAACGATTTTGGTAGGATGAAGTATTTTCAAGGTTCAAGGTTCAAACTTTAGTTTATCTAGCAAATTTATTAGATTCGCTTTTAACTATTTCAATTATTATGCCAAATTTCACGTCAAAAAATAAAAAATAAAAAATTGTTATGCCAAATCTACCGTTATTATATTGCATATTTCATGAAAGGTTATTTATTAATTTATGAATAAAAAGATTGAGGAGGTAGAATTCTTTTATTATTATTTATTTTTTGAGTGGTTCTCTAAAACAAGTTAATTCAAGAATATCTAATAAAGTATTAGGACGGAATAATCACTGTATTAAATCTTCGTAATATTAAAATCAGTATACATATTATACCCACCAAACTTTCTATCTTATTTAGTATATTAATGCTTAATTACCAAACTCATCACTGTTTCCTTTGGGATTAATAATATAATTAAGCAAACACTTCGAGTTTTATCGACAAATATAGTCAAAAAAGAATATTATTAGTCCCCATATTAATCATTGGAAAAAGTAGCAAGCATTTTTAGCACTATGATATGTATTGAATTGCACTAAAAGTATGATTACGACGAGAATACAACATTATTGCAATGGTTGAAGCACCTAATTTTTTCTTTTAAGATTGGAGGCCACATTGTACTACAAGAAAACAATATTATTATTTTTAACTAGGGGACTATCTCCCCAAGGGACAATTCAATTGATATGGAGCCTCGTGATATCACCTATTATTATTTGTCGGTGAACTTAAGATAAAAAAATTCTTGATATCTCTCGAGTTCGAGCGTGAAGCAGATAAGATAATAAGAGTGTCGTCTTCAGTTATAAAAGTAAAAAAACTAAAATGTTATCAATTTTGAGAGGAAAAAAAAAAAGAATCTAGCTAGCCTAACTAGCAATTTTCTTTTGAAAAACATCAAAGATAAATGCGAAAATGATAAAAGAACACATAGACATGAATAATTTGCAATGATGATATAATAAAAGAAGAGTTTAAATTACTACCTTCAACCTTGTGTATGGTTTGGACCTAGTTTTAATTTAGTCGACCCTCATATGATGAATATTTAGGCTTGGTTTCTAATTAAGTCCCTATAGTTAAGTAAAATTACATAACTAGGGTAAATGCATGTCCTATATTAATTATCATTTTCTAATTATACAAGATATGTTTTGAGCAAAAGGTTGGAAAAAATCAATATAGATTTATGGGAGGTTAAAAAACAGTATAGAAACACACATCAAAAGGGGAATAATTTAAAACTTCTAAAATCATATAGAAACTAAACTCAATCTAATGTTAAGTCACAACTTTTCCGATGAAAAAAAAGAAATAACAACAATATTTGATCTTAGTCAACCTGAAACACAAGTTCAACTAGTTAAAGCATCCATCTCCGATCAAAAGATTGCGAGTTTGAATCCCACCCCTAATACTTAAAAAAGCAGTTTCTTAACCCGCAAGTTTAGGAGATGGGAGAGAGATAACTTGTGTTGTGTGCTAACTCTTGAGAATGGTAGCTGCATTTAACTGCCAAAACCAGCCTTTGAAGACTTTGAAAAAGGATGAATGAGAGAATATTATTTATTTCTCTATATATATACCACTTTTCTGTGGTTTCAGTTCACTGGTTATTGCATTTCTAAGCTGTACCAGTTTTCCTTTTTCTTTTTTTTTTTTTGAATATATATGGGAAAAAAGGAATCTTGCTTTTGGTTTAAAATTAATGAAAAGCCCCCATTATTTACCTGCAACACAAAGCATAGAACACACAATATTCATTCAAACCCCACAGCTTACTATAACATCTTTTTTTTTCTCCTCCACCAAATTATTCCTCTCCTTCAAAAGTTTATAATAATTAATGCCTCACAGCTATATGTATATGTTTTTGAGAGGCATCAAATTAAATTAAGGGCTTATTTTGCTAGCTAGGGCTAGTTTACATAAATTAACTGTTTGTAAATGGAGGTACCATGTGGGTAGAATTTATTCATTCCCATCTCAATACCTCGCCTAAAAGAATCTTAGTGGAATATATCCAGTAAAGTTTTTTAAGTCTGTTTAACTTCTTCTATGAAAAGAGAACTGCCCAAATCCAAAATCCAACCAACAGTGTATTTTGATTACAATTTCATTTCATTGATATATAGTTTATAAATTATATAGGGTAGGAAATAATTAATATTCAGTTCATATATAATATATATGCTTGTTACTTACTTGTAAAAGGAATCAATGTCTAGATTGAAATTTATGTTCATGTTACACCTCACAGTACAAAACCTTTCGCGCTAGGGAAGGGCGATTATCTCCATCAGCATGTACCCGAACAATTTTACAATTTCGCACGTGAACAAATGAAAATAATCATATAGTGGTGAATAGAATGTATCATCTTTCATTAATTCACTAATGATAAAAAGGCATTAATATATACCGATGATCCATAAAACAAACATCTTTATAGCTTAGCTCAACCGGATAAACTACATATTCCCGACTAAAAGGTTATGAGAATTTCAACTGTACTCTCATAAGTAACAATTTTAGTTTTAATTTGTAACAATTCAGTCCTCATACTTTCACATTAGTAATAGTTTAAGTTCATATTGTGAAATCTTTTGTTTAGTTTCTTTATATACCATAGATATCGATAAAGGGATCAAATGTGCTATAAATTAATTTATATGATAAAAATTGTCGACACGTAATTTTGACAAGATTTTTCGTAGTAGGGATTAAATTTTTACAAATTTTAAACTCCGTAGACTAAGTTGTTACAAACAAATGTTTAGGGACTAAATTATTACGTATGAATGTTTAGAGACTAAATCGTTACCAATTTGAAAACAAAAAGATTAAATCATCATAAACTATAAAGTTAGTTCAAAGACTAAATCATCACGAAAGTACAAACACAAGGTGTGTTTTTTAATTATCCTTAAATAATTTATTTGGAGGTACCACGTGTTAGAAGAAGCAAAATATATGAGTTTGTGCAGTTGGGATTGGAAGGTAGAAAGTTCAGAAGGGAGGAATAGTAAGTTGGAATTCCAATACCAATTCCTATTCCAAGTCTAAGTCTTTGATGCAAAGGATTCCTCTGGTCAATATGGCTCAAAGCAGTGGAGGAAAGAAAAAGTGTTGTTTGATTAATTACCCCACACAGTACCAACTTCAGAGGCCACAACCTCAAAATTTTTTGTTTCTTTGCACAGCCTAGATTCTCCAGTCCCCCAAACTTGTCATTTCAGCTCATCAGGCCCCTTATTTTCCACTATAAAAAGGAGGATCCCCCACTTCATCAAACCAACACAACCAACTCCATTTTCCCATCTCCCAAAATCTCCTTCTAATTTCTGTCTTGTCTTCTGCTAAACAAAACAAAACAAAACCCAGCACCAATATGGGAGGAGGCAACAGGCAGAAGAAATCTCACTCATTCTCCATCTTCAGCTTCTTCAAATCCAAAAGGAGTAGAAAAGGAGACCATTACGACAGCTGGGACGACGTGTCGTGCCCCAACAAGGTGTGGCCAAGCGACGCTGACAAATGCCACCATTGGATCGCCGAGCCTGGCATCGACAGAAAAGCCAAAGATTACATCGATAGGATTCATCGGAACCGTGTATTGGAGACCGAACGCCAAACCTTTACGGTCCAACCCACGGGAAACGTGTAAATCATC